GCCTCCTGGGTTCAAGTGATTCTCCTGCCTCAGGCTCCTGAGTAGCTGGGATTACAGGCGCCTGCCACCACTCCCAGCTAGTTTTTTGTATTTTTAGCAGAGATGGGGTTTCACCATGTTGGCCAGGCTGGTCTCAGACCCCTGACCTCAAGTGATCTACCCAATGGGTCCCATTTGTTGAGGTTCCCTCTGTCCCATCAAGGAGCAGAGTATCTGGGGCCAAGGGGTTGTCCCCACCCGGAATCCACACATGCCTTAGAGATTATGTTCTGGGACTCTGTGGTGGACAGAATAATATCTCTCCCCACCAAAGATGTCCATACCCAAAAACCTGCAACTTGTAAATATGTTACCTTACATCACAAAAGCAATTTTGTGGGTATGATTAAGTTGAGGACCATGAAATTCAGGATGATTCTGGATTATCTGGGTGAGCCCAGTATAATCACAAGTGTCCCTATGTGTCATTTCGCTGGAACTGATGGTGTGATAAGTTGAAAAATTGTAAAAAGTCTGTGAGAAAATCCACCTCGTGTTAATGATGCTTCAAGGAGGAGGGTAAAGGAGGAAGAGGCAATTGTTCCAAAGGACTCAAGTGGGGCAGAGAGACCAGCACTTACTGGAGGGGAGATAAAGAAGAGGTGACTGGGCCAGGCGCAGTGGCTCACACCTGGAATCCCAGCACTTTGGCAAGCCGAGGCAGGCAGATCATTTGAGATCAGGAGTTCGAGACCAGCCTGGCCAACATAGTGAAACCCCGTCTCTACTAAAAACACAAAATTAGCTGGGCGTGCAGGCCTGTAATCCCAGCTACTCAGGAGGCTGAGGCAGGAATATTACTTGTACCCGGGAGGTGGAGGTTGCAGTGAGCCGAGATCATGCCACTGCACTCCAGCCTGGGCAAAAAGAGCAAAACTCCATCTCAAAAAAAAAAAAAAAAAAAAGAGGTGACTGATAAGAAAGTGCTGAAGTCCTGAGTATCAGAAATGAGAGGATTGCAAGGAAAGCACAGATAGGACACACAGATCAGAGACAAGAGACCACATGTCTCCAGAAATTGACAGAGAGAGAGAGATTGAGGATAGAACACTAGAGAAGAAAAATGCACTAGAGAGAAAAGGCTAGGTGGCAAAATACAGACTCCACGAGGTCAGGACTCACAGACAGCTTGGCTACCATATGTCCATTTAGAGCCTCTTCTTTGGCTTTTTTCTAAACAGAGGCTGGAAGGCTGACACTCAATTTCCCAGCTTCCCTTGCAGCTAACAGTGGCCACCTGAAAGAGTTAGAAGTCTCTGTGAAAGGTGTACTTTCCCCACTAATAAGGCAAACACTTGCCAGGAGAAAATCCTCCACTCTTTTTTTTTTTTTTTTGAGACGGAGTCTCACTCTGTTGCCAAGGCTGGAGTGAAGTGGCACAATCTCGGCTCACTGCAACCTCTGCCACCCTGGTTCAAGCGATTCTCCTGCCTCAGCCTCCAAAGTAGCTGAGGTTACAGGCGCATGCCACCGTACCTGGCTAATTTTTGTAGTTTTAGTAGAGATGGGGTTTCACCATCTTGGCCAGGCTGGTGTTGAACTTGACCTCGTGATCTACCCGCCTCAGACTCCCAAAGTGCTGTGATTACAGACATGAGCCACTGCACCAGGCAAGATCCTCCACTCTTTTACCCTTGCTCCCACTGCTTGTCTGCAACTACTGTGCTCCACGGAGGGACAGCCCCCTTTTCATGACCATGAGGCAATCAAAATGAGCAAGAAGGTCTATGCTGCAAGCTCAGTGGAAGAAAAATGTGGAAAGAGTTCATTCAGATTTTTTTATTTTTGAGACAGAGTCTCATTCTGTTGCCCAGGCTGGAGAACAGTGGTGTGATCTCGGCTCACTGCAACCTCCACCTCCTGGGTTCAAGCAATTCTCCTGCCTCAGCCTCCTGAGTAGCTGGGATTACAGGCGCTCGCCACCATACCCCGCTAATTTTTTATATTTAGGAAAGACAGAGTTTCACCATGTTGGCCAGGCCACCCACCTCGGTCTACCAAAGTGCTGGGATTACAGGCAGATTTCAGATTGCTAATGGTATTTTTTTTGGGACAGAGTCTCGTTTTGTTGCCCAAGCTGGAGTGCAATGGTGCAATCTTGGCTCACTGCACCCTCCGCCTCCTGGGTTCAAACGATTCTGCTGCTTCAGTTCTCTGAGTAGCTGGGATTATAGGTATCCGCCACCACGCCCAGCTAATTTTTGTATTTTTTAGTAGAGACGGGCTTTCACCTTATTCACCAGGCTAGTCTCAAACTCCTGACCTCATGATCCACCCACCTCGGCCTTCCAAAGTGCTGAGAGTACAGGCGTGAGCCACCGAGCCTGGCCTGTTAATGGTATTTTTAAGCTATCATGCCAGCCCTGGACTTCTTATTGTGAGAGATAAAGAACCCTCTCTTAAAGCATTCCTAGCTGATGTGGGGAACTGACCTACTTTGTTAACTATTGTTATCCAGTGCAGGAACTACACCTGGCATAAAGCTGGTGCTCTTAAATATTTTTTTCTTTCTTTATTTTTTTGGAGACAGGGTCTAAGGCTCTATTACCAGGGCTAGAGTGTAGCGGTGTGATCATAGCTTACTGCAGCCTCTATCTCCTGGGCTCAAGTGATCTTCCCACTTTAGCCTCCCAAGGAGATGGGGCTACTGATGCGCACCATGATGCCTGGCTAATTTAAATTTTTTTTTATTCACCGGGCGTGGTGGCTCATGCCTGTAATCCCAGCACTTTGGGAGGCTGAGGCAGGTGGATCACCTGAGGTCAGGAGTTCCAGGCCATCCTGACCAACATGGCAAAATCTCATCTCTACTAAAAATACAAAAATTAGCCAGGTGTGGTGGTGGGTGCCTGTAGTCCCAGCTACTTGGGATGCTGAGGCAGGAGAATCACTTAAACTTGGAGGCAGCAGTTGCAGTGAGCCGAGATCAAGCCACTGCATTCCAGCCTGGGCGACAGAGTGAGACCGTCTCAAAAAAAAAATTTTTTTTTTTTTTTGTTGAGTCAAGGGATCTCACTATGTTTCACAGGCTGGTCTCGAACCCCTGCTCATAAGTGATCCTCTCATCTTGGCCTCACAAAGCTTTAGGGTTACAAGTATGAGCCACTGCATCTGGCATGAGAAATTTTTTTAGGCTGGGCATGGTGGTTCATGCCTCTGATTCCAGTACTTTGGGAGGCTGAGGCAGGCAGATCATCTGATGTCAGGAGTTCAAGACCAGCCTGACCAACATGTCAAACCCCATCTCTACCAAAAATACAAAAAGTAGCTGGGCATAGTGGTGCATGCCTGAAATCCCAGCTACTCAGGAGACTGAGGTGGGAGAATTGCTTGAACCCCAGGAAGGCGGAGGTTGCAGTAAGATGAGATCAAACCACTGCGCTCCAGCTTAGGTGACAGGGCAAGACCCTGTCTCAAAACAAACAACAACAAAAAAACGAAAACAGAAATCAGATCATACCGTTCCTTCCTTAAAGTCTCCACTCCCCATGGCTTTTCACTGCCCTTAGTATAAAGTCCAGCCCTGACCTTGGCCTCATGCCTGGAATCCTCCCCTCATCTACCCTCTCATCTCAGCTCCTAGCCTTCAGCCACACTGGCCTTCTTGCTGTTCCTCCACTAAACCAACACCACACCTACCTCAGGCCCTTTGCACACCCTGTTCCCTCTACCTGCAAGGCTCTACTTCCGTAAGTCCACCTGACTAGCTCTTTCACCTCTGGCAGGGCTCTGCACAAATGTCACCTCCTGAGAAACCTGCCCCAAACACCCAGGTGAAAATATCCCAGCCCAGCTGCCCTCTAGCTCACCATCACTCTCTGAAAAGATCTTCTTGATTTTTCTGTCTGCATGTTTATTGTTCATTTCCCACCATTCGACCTATGAATCAGGTCTATTTGGTCACTGCCTGGCGTAGAGTAGAGAAGAAGAAAAATACACACAGAAGGACTGAGTAAATGCGAGATGGGGAGAGAGTTATTGTCCTCATTCTTGTTGGAATCGTGGGCTGCAATTTGGGGCCTGAACTCAACGTTTTTTGTTTTGTTTTGTTTTGTTTTTGAGACGGAGTCTTTCTCTGTTGCCCAAGCTGGAGTGCAATGGCACGATGTTGGCTCACTGCAACCTCCACCTCCCAGGTTCCAGCAATTCTCCTGCCTCAGCCTCCCAAGCAGCTGGGATTATAGGCGCCCACTACCATGCCTGGCTAATTTTTGTATTTTAAGTAGAGACAAGGTTTCACCATGTTGATCAGGCTGTACTCAAACTCCTGACCTCAAATGATCTGCCCATCTCGGCTTCCCAAAGTGCTGGGATTACAGACGCCCACCATCACACGCAACCTAATTTTTGTATTTTAAATAGAGACAGGGTTTCACCATGTTGGCCAGGCTGGTCTCGAACTCCTGACCTGAGGTAGTCTGCCAGCCTCCGTCTCCCAAAGTGCTGGAATTACAGGCATGAGCCACTGTGCCTAGCCTTTGAATTTAACTTCATCCCTATGATTTGGCAAAGGGATGTAAAAAGATAAAAAATGCAAGTCAAGGATTGATTCCAGTGAGTTCAGTCTAATGATAATGATAACATCAGCAAGCACCTACAGTGCACCGGGCACTGTTGTAAATGTTCTGAGTGGATTAACTAGTTTAATTCTTTTTCTTTTCTTTCTTATTTATTTATTTATTTATTTATTTATTTTTGAGATGCAGTTTCGCTCTTGTTGACCAGACTGGAGTGCAGTGGCACAATCTTGGATCACTGCAATCTCCGCCTCCTGGGTTCAAGCGATTTTTCTGCCTCAGCCTCCCAAGTAGCTGGGATTATAGGCACTGACCACCATGCCCAGCTAAACTAGTTTAATTCTTTTTTTTTTTTTTTTTGAAAAAAAAGTAGTTTAATTCTTATAACAACCTTATGATCATTACAACGGAGATACTCTTGTTATCCTCATTTTACAGAGGAGGAAGCAGAGGTTCAGAGAGGCTTAGTAACTTGCTCAAGGTCACAAAGCCAAGAAGGGGAAGAGCGAAGACTGGAGCCCTGGCAGTCTCACCCCAGAATCCAGAACTACTGCATCCCTGAAAATATCCCAGGGACCCTGCTCCTGGGAGGAGGAGTCCACTTCCACCCTTGATGACCTCCACCCTCCAAGCTGACCCACCCAGGGCTGACCTCTGGGGCTGAATGAATGAACCTTGACCCCTTGCCATCTTTGAGCATCCTCAGGTCCCCAGCGGCCCCACCCCCACCCCCGGCCCCCGAGTCTGCGCTGACCCTGCCTTGAGCTGAGTGAGTGCTTCCTCTACGCGGGGCTGGTTGTAGCGCACCATGTAGCTGTGCATATCGGGATAGTTGCTTCGGATGTTCTTCTCCGTAGACCCGTTGGGCACAGTCCCAAATTTCAGGGGTGGGTATTGCTCCTGGGGCCTCTGGAACTGGGGCAGAATGCGGAGTGATTAGGGCACCCTCCACAGGGACATCCCTAACACGAATCCCCCATTCTGAGAGACATCCGCTATCTGGCAGACACCCCAGTCCCAAAAGTATTCAGTATTTCTCAAGACTTGCTCACTACATTGGGAAATGTGCTTTCACTGGCACTCAGCACACACAGTTGCAGACACATAATCCGAAAGGTCACGAGAAGCCTCCCCGAGGCCCCTGAAGTGCCAGGAGTTAAGCCTTCACTTACTGAATCACAGGAGGTCCTGGGGGGAGAGGCTGGCATGGCAGGGGCTGTTGCTATTTACCAATCCGTTCAGAAATAGTTCACTGTTTTAACAACAGATGTAGCCAGACGGGTGTGTGCTGGCTCAATGTCAGGTGTGTATATGACTAAAACAAGTTTTATAAAACCAAATGCACTACATAAGATGCAATCAACTATTCTATTCTATTCTTCTCCATTCCATTAAAAAATGCTTGTTGGCCGGGTGCAGTGGCTCACGCCTGGGATCCCAGCACTTTGGGAGGCCGAGCAGGTGGATCACTTGAGGTCAGGAGTTCAGAGGCCATCCTGGCCAATATGGTGAAATTCCATCTCTACTAAAAATACAAAAATTAGCTGGGTGTGGTGGCACATGCCTGTACTCCTAGCTACTCGGGAGGCTGAGGCAGGAGAATCACTTGAACCCGAGAAGCAGAGGTTGCAGGGAGCTGAGATCTCGCCACTGCGCTCCAGCCTGGCAACAGAGTGAGACTGTCTCAAGAAAAAACAAAACAAACAAACAAAAAAACTTATTGCAACCCATCAAACTGATTTCTTGAGCCTTTAACAGGCCATGACACCCGGCTGGAGAATCACTTTAGTCTCAAAGTGAGCTCTACAAACCGCCAGTCCCTCAGCAAACCGTGATTGCAGTAAGGGGCATACAGGAATGGAGGGAGTGAGCATTTAGAGAGCAATTTGACAGGATCGCTTTTCTTTTCTTTTCTTTTTCTTTCTTTTTTTTTTTTTTTTTTGAGACAGAGTTTCGCTCTTATTGCCCAGGCTGGAGTGCAATGATCAATCTCAGCTCACCACAACCTCCACCACCTGGGTTCAAACAATTCTCCTGTCTCAGCCTCCTGAATAGCTGGGGTTACAGGCATGAGCCATCACACTCGTCTAATTTTGTATTTTTAGTAGAAACAGGGTTTCTCCATGTTGGTCAGGCTGGTCTCCAAATCCAGACCTCAGGCGATCCACCCGCTTCAGCCTCACAAACTGCTGGGATTACAGCCATGAGCTACTGTGCCTGGCCGACAGGATTGTTTTTCGTCTGTTGAATCTAATAATAAAACTGTGGGTTTGACTTTTTGTTCGGTTTGTTTGAGACAGAGTTTCACTCTTGTTGTCCAGCTGGAGTGCAATGGCCAGTCTTTGCTCACTGCAACCTCTGCCTCCCGGGTTCAAGTGATTCTCCTGCCTCAGACTCCCAAGTAGCTGGGATTACAGGCACCCGCCACCATGTCCAGCTAATTTCTTTATTTTTAGTAGAGACGAGTTTCACCATGTTGGCCAGGCTGGTCTCAAACTCCTGACCTCAGGTGATCCACCCACCTCGGTCTCCCAAAGTGCTGGGATTACAGGTGTGAGCCGCCGTGGCTGGTTGGGTTTGACTTTCGTCTGTCTTGGTTTTAGATCTTATTTTACTTTTCTAATAATTCATTTCCATTGAATTTCACAAAAGCATTGGTCTGCAATGGACTAGAAGTTTCAAAAATGAATCCTTCCTCACAGTTTGAGAGAAGCACTGGTTCTAAAATATCCCATCTGGCACAACTGCCCCTAGAACATTCAGGGACACCCCTTCCCCTAGGAATATTTTAAATAGCTCATGGTGAACCGTGTTCTTTCTCCAAACACAACCTTCCATTCTACCATTCTGGAATTCTCTTTGGGAAGAGACCCCTGCCCCCACTCCCCACCCCCCAAGAATCCTCTCTAATCGACCACATGCCAAGCTCTGTGACCTCCAGCCCCAGCCAAGCCCTGGACCCACACACACCTTGCGGTCACTGAGCCCGGACACGGTATCCACGTACTCCTCCTGGATCATGAAGGCGGCCAGGTTGGCTGTGTAGCTGGCGAGGAAGATGACGGCGAAGAAGGCCCACACCAGCACCATGATTTTGCTGGTGGTTCCCCGGGGGTTCTCCACGGGCACCGAATTATTGAACACCAGGGCCCAGAGCAGCCAGATGGATTTCCCAATGGTGAAGGTTGAGCCACCAGGGCCTGCAGGGGGCCAGGACGCGGACATGGACCCCAAATCCCTTCGCAATAAGGGAGCGGAAAAAAAAGAACTACAATTCCCAGTGGCCCCCAAGGCCTCTGGCACCTCGAGAGGCCCTAGCTTGACCCCCAGGGACCTGCTGGGAAATGTAGTTCTCTCTCTCTGGTTAGGTAGCTCAGCGGCAGGCGGATGGAGGAAGGGGGACTCACGCTTGCCAGTGGCCAGGCTGCGGTTGTAGCCGACAGGACTGAGGTACTCGAAGATGAAAACAGTGACGGCGACCACAGTGAGGCACATGACGAACATCATCACCCACACGGCAGGACTGTAGGGCTCTGGGGACAAGGGAGTTCGTGGTCATGGCTCAGCCAAGCAAAAGACTCAGGATCAGGCTGGGGCGATGGCTCACGCCTGTACTCCTAGAACTTTGGGAGTCTGAGGTGAGAGGATCACTTGACGCCTGAAGTTCAAGACCAGCCTGGCTTGAACATAGTGAGACCCTGTCTCTACAAAAAAAAAAAAAAAAAAAAGAAAAAAAAGAAAGAGAGAGAGAGAAAGAAAGAAAGAAAAAAGGAAGGAAAGAAAATTTAAAAACCCTAGGGTACTACAGCAAGTGAACAAGGTGCGGCCCAGATCTGACCCCATCCTATTCTGGTCCTTTCTCTAGGTTCTCCATCTCTGAGAGTCTTACGGCCCACCCAAACCCCTAGGAGACAGCTATTTTCAAAGAGAGCCATGGCAGGCATTTCTGTGGTTTCAGCCACCAAACAGAAACTGTCTCCTAAATGTTTCCTGAGCCACAGGCCTGAGCCTCCACCTAACCCAGCCATCCCCCCAGGCCATTCATCATGTCCCATGCTGAGCCCAGACCAGCACCCATGCTCCCCAAATGGGGGCCTCACCATCCACCCAGTCACAGGCTCAAACTCCATTTGCCATCCTCCCTCCCACTCCCTCTCTGGCCACAGCCTGTCAGTCTCCAACCCACGCTCCCGCCCCTGATGCTACTTGGGCCTCTCCTCTCCATTCTCATGGCCAACAGGGTTCAGGACTCATCTCCTCCCACCAACCATCTCCCCTGCCTCCAGAGCTCCTGTCTGTCTCCTATAGTCCAACCCCCATACAATGCAGAGACGACCTGGCTCCTCCCCTGCTTACAGCTCTCCCCGGGCTCCCTAGCACCTCCAAGACAAAGTCTCTGCCACTCAGCCTTGTCACACTCTCCTCTCTGGCCTGATCACTCTTTGAAGCACCCATGCTTTAACTACCCAGAACTCACAGGCAGCCGGGCTCGGTGGCTCACGCCTGTAATCCCAACACCTCGGAGGCCAAAGCAGGAGGATCACCTGAAGTCAGGAGTTCAAGACCATCCTAGCCAACGTGGTGAAATCCCATCTCTACTAAAATACAAAAAATTAGCTGGGTGTTGTGGCGGGCGCCTGTAGTCCTAGCTACTCAGGAGGCTGAGGCAGGAGAATCGCTTGAACCCAGGAGGTGGAGGTTGCAGCGAGCTGAGATCATGCCACTGCACTACAGCCTGGGTGACAAAGCAAGACTCTGTCTCAAGAAACAAAAAACAAAACAAAAGCCGGCGCAGTGGCGCACGCCTGTACTCCCAGCACAGTGTATTGTTGGGGCTCACAAAATGATATTCCCAAAGCATGATATTTGTCAGGTGGAGTATTTGAACTAAAGGAGATTAAAGGTCTCATAGGCGGTCGGGCGTGGTGGCTCACACCTGTATTCCCAGCACTTTGGGAGGCCAAGGTGGGTAGATCACAAGGTTGGGTGTTTGAGACCAGCCTGGCCAATATAGTGAAACCCCATCTGTACTAAAAATACAAAAATTAGCCGGGCATGGTGGCGGGTGCCTGTAATCCCAGCTACTCGGGAGGCTGAGGCAGGAGAATCGCTTGAACCCGGGAGGCAAAGGTTGCAATGAGCTGAGGTCGCAAAACAAAACAAAACCTCACAGGTGCCTGAACCAGTGACACCCTCTGTTGCTTGTCTCCTAGGTTCCCCTGCTAGAGGAAACACCCTGCCCTGTCCATCAAACAACCTCCCATTCATGTGTCCCCTCCTCACATTTAATGACCGTGTGTGGTCCCTGGGAGCTCACCAACAATCAACCCAAATCACCATTTCCTTGAGATTAGGACCAGGTGATTCAACTTCCCAGGGCCAAGTGTGAGCTGCCAGGACTGCCCGTGTCACAGCAAGGTCAGCACCCTGGACAGTCACTGCGGCAGCTTTGGACATGCCTGTCACTGCTGCGGGGCAGCTTGGTGGGGCATAAAGAGGACCTTGTCACTCCCCTGCAGTGTGCTGCCTGCAAGCAGGGACCCCACGTGGTGCTTCTCAGTCTGCCCTGCAGAGACCTCGGTGCAAAGAGGAGGCCACAGGAGACACCGTTGGGCAAAATAAACAGAAAACAAAACACAAAGGAAGGGATGGCTCTTCTTCCAGCCCCTCCCCTCTCCTGGGAGCTCTGCTCAGACTTCAGAGAGCAAGTGGAAACTGACAAGAACAGTTGCCCTTGGCTGTGTGCTTCTCCAGCTCAGAAATGGGTCCTCTGCCCAATTCATCTCAAAGCCACCAGCCGTGCTGGTGGGCAGCTCCCTAACCACACCCTGAGTCTGTCTACTGTCACTTCCTAGTGCACACCCTTACTCTGTCTCTGGCATGGACCTTGCGGTAGAATCCCCACTAGCCACTTACTTCCACAGAGAGGGGTTTTTTCTTTTTTTAATGTATTTATTTATTTATTGGAAACACAGTTTCACTCTTCTGCCCAGGCTGGAGTGCAGTGGTGTGATCTTGACTCACTGCAACCTCCGCCTCCCGGGTTCAAGTGATTCTCATGTCTCAACCTCCTGAGTAGCTGGGATTACAGGTATACGCCACCATGCCCAGCTAATTTTGTATTTTTAGTAGAGACAGAGTTTCACCATGTTGGCCAGGCTGGTCTTGATCTCCTGACCTCAAGTGATCCACCCACCTCGGCCTCCCAAAGTGCTGGGATTACAGGTGTGACCACCACACCTGGCCTCATTTTGTCAGCCAGGCTGGAGTGCAGTGGTGTCATCTCAGCTCACTACAACCTCTGCCTCCTGGGCTCAAGCCATCCTCACACCTCAGCCTCCTGAGTAGCTGGGATTACACAAAGCTAGATACTTTAAAAACCTAAATCTGATTATACATCCCCCACACCATGTTCTGTAGTTAAAACTCTTGTCCAGGTGCAATGGCTCATGCCTGTAATCCCAGCACTTTGGAAGGCCGAGGTAGGCAGATCACCCAAGGTCGGGAGGTCAAGACCAGCCTGGCCACCATGGTGCAACTCCCTCTCTACTAAAAATACAAAAATTGGCCGGGTGTGGTGGCTCATGCTTGTAATCCCAGTTACTTGGGAGGCTGAGACAGGAGAATTGCTTGAACCTGGGAGGCGGAGGTTGCATTGAGCCAAGACTGCGGCATTGCACTCCAGCCTTGGTGACAGAGTGAGACTCCATCTTTCAAAAAAAAAAAACAAAAAAACAGAGTTTATCTTCTGTCTCCTTCACAAGGCTGAGAGATCCTACAGGACAGAGATTTGTGTCTGCCTCATTTACCACTGTGTTCCCAATGTGGAGCCCACCACCTGGCACATAGTAGGTGCTTAGTAAATACTGATGGGTGGTTGAGCGCCGTGGCTCACGCCTGTAATCCCAGCACTTTGGGAGGCCGAGGTGGGCAGATCACAAGGTCAAAAGATCGAGACCATCCTGGCTAACACAGTGAAACCCCATCTCTACTAAAATACAAAAAATTAGCTGGGCGTGGTAGTACATGCCTGTAATCCCAGCTACTCAGGAGGCTGAGGCAAGGGAATCTCTTGAACCCGGGAGGCGGAGGTTGCAGTGAGCTGAACTGTGCCACTGTACTCTAGCTTGGGTGACGAAGTAAGACTCCTTCTCAAAAAAAATTACAAGGTGCTGGTACTGTGCTAATTTGTTCTCTTCATCTCATACCTAGATACAGGGAAACACTTGGGTTTTGTGGGGCCTGAAGCTTGGAGAATTTGGAGGGCTCTCGTTGAGAGAATTCAATCTTGTGAACACAAAACCAGGTGCAGGGCTTGGAAGCTGCAGTGCAAGAGAAGGCTCTGGGGCTCAGCCTTCTTTAGCATCTTGATAAAATGTCTTCTGGGTAGGGAATTATTTCTTCCATCTTGCAGATTAGGAAACTGAGGCTCAGAAATGATGTCACTTCACCAAAGTTGCACTGTGAGTTCAGTACTGATGATACCGGGAACGCAGGTTTTCTGACCCCAGGGCCCACACGGTTGGGGGTGGCTGCTTTGCCTAGGTCTCGCTACCTATCCCAGGGCCCCAGCTTACCGAGGAAAGCGGAGGGGGACACCGTGCCGTTGCTGCGCGCCACCATGACGCTGATGCCTGTCTCCACGAAGGGGACGGAGAAGTCCACGATCTCGGAGCGCTCCTCGTTGATGGTGAGGGAGCCGATGGCCATGTCTGCGCGCTGGTAGAACACCTGGGGTGGGGGTGATGAGAAGTGGGCGAGGGAACCCGGCTCAGGCTGGCAGACTGACACGGACAGCGGGCAGAGACGGGCCCCGGGAGCAGACCAGTGACGGGGTCAGGGAAGGGGCCAAGAGGGATTGCGGGGTGGGTGAGGAGGGGGACGCAGAGCGGGGCAGGGGAAGGCGGAGGTGAGAGATGGGGAACAAGATTGGGAATTGGTAGCCTGCATCCTATCCCGCTGCTTCCAGCAAGTCCTCAAGGCCTTGGTCCACACCTTCCCAGCCCCACCCGCTTCCCCTAGGATTCCCACCCTCCTAGCCCCTCCTCCTCTACCCCAAAGTTCCTCCTCCCAGCCCCGCCCCCTTCCTCTAGGAGCCTCACCCTCCTAGCCCCGCCTCCACTGCCCCAAAGTCCCTCCTCCCAGCCCCGCCCCTTTCCCCTAGCAGTCCCATCCTCCTAGCCCCGCGTCCTCTGCCTCAAAGCCCCTCCTCCAAGCCCCGCCCCGATACCACCTGACCCCGCCCCTTGCTCCAAGACCTGTCCTTCACGCGGCCCCGCCCCAGGTGCAGAATCAGGTGTTCCCTCAATTCCGCCAAGCCACGGCCTCAGCGTGCCCGCCTCTCCGCCTTTTTTTTTTTTTTTTTTTGTGGGACGGAGTCTGGCTCTGTGGCCCAGACTGGAGTGCAGTGGAGCGCGATCTCGAGTCACTGCAACCTCCGCCTCCTGGGTTCAAGCGATTCTTCTGCCTCAGCCTCCCGAGTAGCTGGGATTACAGGAGTGCACCACCACGCCCGGCTAATTTTTTGTATTTTAGTAGAGACAGGGTTTCACCGTGTTGCCCAGGCTGGTCTCGCACTCCTGACCTCAGGCAATCCGCCCCCCTCGGCCTCCCAAAGTGCTAGGATTACAGGCGTGAAGCCACCGCGCCTGGCAGTGCTCGCCTCTTGACTCCGCCCCGAAGACTCTCCGCCTCCCGTCCGCCCCTCACCTCCCCGATCATCCCATTCCAGACGCCATCGATCTTCTTTCCGTGCTTGCCGTTGGTGACCAGGTAGAGGTCATAGCTGAAGCCGATGGTCTGCGCCAGCCGCTTCAGAATGTCGATGCAGAAACCCTTGCAGCAGCGCTTTTCCGGGCGGGGGGCATCCGGGGGAGGGCTGCGGGGATTGACCAGGCTTGGGGAGTTTGGGGACCCCCTCCTTAGACTCTCTCATAAAGAGAAGATATGGAGGAACGGACAGACAGCAGCTAAAACTATGGTTAGCGCTTTCAGGGGAAACTGAGGCTCAAAGAATTCTGGGGTTTGCCCAAGGTCATCAAGCTGGAGGGCTCGTGGGTCTTGGGTCCCAAGAGAGGAAGGGGCTGGGGGCCAGGACTACTGGGCTTCACTGGAGGAGGGTTTTGGAGCCTGAACTCCTGGATCCCAAGCTGTCACCTGTGGGTCCGGTTGAGCTGGCTCCGGCAGGGGACAGAGTCTCGGATGCAGGTGCCACTGATGGGGTCTGCAGGCTCCACGATGACAAACGGCCTCTCCTCCAGCGTGGCCACCGTGAGGTGCTGCGTGTCGTCCACTGGCTGCAGGAAGCGACCATAGCGGGACCACAGCGGGTACTTGAGGCGGAGCGTCTGCTGCTCCCAGCTGCCCACCTTGGCCAAACGGAAGGAGAGTCAGGCTTCCTGGGGGACTTCCTGTGGTATCCTCCTCCATCTGACCTAGGTGTGTGGGCAGCAGCTTCCTCCAAGACCCAGGAGCCCCTCCCACCTTCAGACCCTAGGACCCCGGAGTCCAGGCTCCCTGTCCCCACCACCTTCTTAGTCCAGGACCTCAGGCCCCACCCCCTGCCAGGATGCAGGAGTCCAGGCCCTCTACAATGCCCGTGGTCTGGGCTTCGACTCACCACCTCCCACGTCCTGTCTCTGGTGAGGGAGATGACCACCAGGGAGGGGTTCACTAGGAAGCCATCCTCATTGAAAGAGTAATCCCGGTTATCCCAGGTGATGTTCATGAAGTACCTGCCCAGGAGGAAGGGCAGGGGACATGCTGGGGCTTGAGCTGGACCTTGGCAGCTGAAGGAGAGAAAGTCCCCTTCCTACCGACCAGCCCCAGCCCCCAGCTGAAATCTCTCCTCCTTTACCTCCAAGGTCTCAAAAATGCAAATATACCCCTTCCCTGCTCAGCACCCTGTCCTTGGCTGCCCAATGACCCCAGGCCCCCGAGATAAGGTCCCAGAGTCTCAGCCTGATGTTGAGGCCCTACAGTCCCCTTTTATTCTTTTTTCCTTTTTTTTTTTTTTTAAAGTAGAGATGGGGTTTGACTGTTTTTTCCATTTTTTGAGATGGAGTCTGGCTCTGTCACCCAGACCGGAGTGCAGTGTTGTGATCCTGGCTCACTGCAATCTCTGCTTCCTAAATTCAAGTGATTCTCCCAGCCTCCTGAGCTGGGATTACAGGCATGCACCACCACACCTGGCTTTTTTTTTTTTTTTTTTTTTTTAAGAGATGGGTTTCTCCATGTTGGTCAGGCTGGTCTCGAGCTCCCGATCTCAGGTGATCTGCCAGCTTCGGCCTCCCAAAGTGCTGGGATTACAGGCGTGAGCCACCTCACCAGGAATTTTTTTTTTTTTTTTCTTTTGAGACAGTCTTGCTCTGTCACTCATGTTGGAGTGCAGTGGGGTGATCTCCACTTACTGAAACCTCAGCCTCCCAGGTTCAAGCAATTCTCCTGCCTCAGCCTCCTGAGTAGTTGGGATTGCAGCTAATTTTTGTGTGTTTAGTAGAGATGGGATTTCACCATGTTGGCCAGGCTGATCTCGAACTCCTGACCTCAAGCGATCCACCCACCTCAGCCTCTCAAGGTGCTGGGATTACAGGTGTGAGCCACCTCGCCAAGCCTTTTTTTTTTTTTTTTTTTTTAAGTAGAGATAGGGTCTCACTATTTTTACCAGGCTGGTCTTGAGCTCCTGAGCTCAAATGATCCTCCCACCTCAACCTCCCAAAGTGCTGGGATTATAGGTGTGGATCACCATGCTAGACCCCTAGAGTCCATTTTTGTTCTGACTCTGCCTTCCTCTGAAGCCACATCTCTGAGAGTTTCCCACTCTCAAACTCTTTGCACCCAGAATTCTTCGTTTTCCTCTATCAACACTGGAAGCAAGGTTATCTCCCAAACACGTCAAGTGATTTCGTATCTCTAGGCCTTTGCAAATGCTGTTCTCTCTGAACACTGTTATGCCACCCCTTATGCTGACCAAATCTTATTATTACTATTATGATTCTTTTGAGACAGGGTCTCACTCTGTCACCCAGATTGGAGTGCAATGGAGTGATCTTGGCTCACTGCAACCCCCGCCTCACAGGCTCAAGTGATCCTTCCACCTCAGCCTCCTGAGAAGCTGCTGGGACTATAAATGCGCATCACCACACCCAACTAATTTTCGTATTATTCTTAGAGAAGAGGTTTCGCCATGTTGCCCAGGCTGGTCTTGAACTCCCGAGCTCAGGCAATCCACCTGCCTTGGCCTCCCAAAGTTCTGGGATTACCAGCGTGAGCCACCGTGTCTGGCATGACCAACTCTGTGTGTCTAAACACTGAGCTCAAATGTCTCTTCCTCTGGGTTGAAGTGCCCAGGGCAGGAGATGGCAGGGGGTGTCCCTGAACTCCTAGATATCTTCACTATGCAACACCACCCTGTATACTTTCACTGCCTCTCATGTCATCCACCCAGTCACTGGGCTAGACTCTCATCTGCCTTCCTCCCTCCCCCCACCCAGCTCATAGGTCCCCAAGTCTCCTGCTTCCTGCCCTGGGGCTCTCGCTGCCTCATCTTCTTCTGTGGCTCCCCACAGCCCCCCTGGGCCCTCATCCCAGCCTCCTGCCTGGCCTCCAGCCTCCAATCTCTCTTTTGAGGCGGAGCGTCTGCATTCTGTTCCCCACCAGGCCCCAGAGGGGTCTTCCCACATCCAAACCTACTCTACTCATCTCCTGCTCATAATCCACCCCTGGCTCGCCAGTGCTATGGAACAGATGCAAGCCTCTCAACCTGGCATTGAAGGCAAAGGCCTGGGGCCACCCACCTCCCAGCCTTGTCACTCAGACGCCTTTTATTTTTTGTTTTTGAGATGGAGTCTTGCTCTGTCACCAGGCTGGAGTGCAGTGGTGCGATCTCAGCTCACTGCAACATCTGACAGCCAGGTTCAAGCGATTCTCTTGCCTCAGTCTCCCAAGTAGCTGGGACTACATGTCCAGCTAATTTTTGTATTTTTAGTAGACACAGGGTTTCACCATGTTGGCTAGGATGGTTTTGATCTCTTGACCTCGTGATCTGCCTGCCTGCCTGCCTCAGCTTCCCAGAGTGCTGGATGACAGGCATGAGCCACTGCACCCAGCCTGTCACTCCAGTTCCTAAACCTGTGGCCTTCATCTGCTCTGAACTACGGTGGTCCCCCCAATCTGCCCAAGGTTTTCTCCCCTCTGGGCTATTGCACATGCTGTTTCCCCTGACTGGAATACTGTTTCTGGTGAACTCCCCACTACTCTTAGAATCAAGTCCAGGCTGGTGCAGTGGCTCACACCTGTAATCCCAGCACTTTGGGAGGCTGAGCAGGGACAGATCACTTGAGGTCAGGAGTTTGAGACCAGCCTGGCCAGCACGGTGAAACCCTGTCTCTACTAAAAATACAAAACTTTGCCAGGCATGGTGGCCAGTGTCTGTAATCCCAGATATTCAGGAGACTTGCTTAAACCTGGGAGGGAGGTTGAGGTTGCAGTGAGCTGAGATCTGGCCACTACACTTTAGCCAGGGCGACAGAGCGAGACTCCATCTAAATAACAAAGCAAAACAAACAAAAACAAAAAACCAAAAAGGTCAGGTGCGGTGGCTCACGCCTGTAATCCCTTTGGGAGCACTTTGAGAAGCCAAGGCTGGTGGATCACCTGAGGTCAGGAGTTCGAGACCAGCTTGGCCAACATGGTGAAATCCTGTCTCTACTAAAATCAAAAATTAGCTGGGTGTGGTGGCACACACCTGTAATCCCAGCAACTAGAATGGGCCAAGGCAGGAGAATTGCTTGAACCTAGGAGGCAGAGGTTGCAGTGAGCCGAGATCATGCCACTGCACTTTAGCCAGGGCGGCAGAGCAAGATTCCATCTAAATAACAAAACAAACAAACAAAAAGATCAGGTGCAGTGGCTCATGCCTGTAATCCCTTTGGGAGCACTTTGGGAGGCAGATGCAGGTGGATCACCTAAGGTCAGGAGTTCGAGACCAGCCCGGCCCACATGGTGAAATCCTGTCTCTACTAAAATACAAAAATTAGCTGGGTGTGGTGGCACATGTCTATAATCCCAGCTACTAGAAGGGGCTGAGGCAGGGAAATTGCTTGAACTTAGGAGGCAGAGGTTTCAGTGAGCCAAGATCAAGCCATTGCACTCCAGCCTGGGGGAGAGAGTAAGACTCTGTCTCATAAATAAATAAATGAAATAAGTCCCAACCCCTGCCCCTGGCCTAAAGGCCCTACATGAGCTGGGCCCTGCAAGTCTCTCTGTCACCTACTCATACCTTCCTTCCACTTGCCCACTATGTTGCAGCCACACCAGCATTTCAGGCTCCCAAACAGGTAAGCTGTGATTTGGATGTCTGTCTCCTAAAACTCATAATTGAAATTTACAGCTGGGTGCAATGGCTTATGTCTATAATCCCAGCACTTTGGGAGGCCGAGGCAGGTGGATCACCTGAGGTGAGGAGTTTGAGACCTGCCTGGCCAACATGGTGAAATCCTATCTCTACAAAAATATAAAAATTAGCCAGGTGCCGTGGCTCATGCCTGTAATCCCAGCACTTTAGGAGGCCAAGGTGGGCAGATTATGAGTTCAGGAGATCAAGACCATCCTGGCCAACGTGGCAAAACCCCATCTCTACTAAGAATACAAAAAAATTAGCTGGAGGTGTTGGCGTGTGCCTGTGGTCCCAGCTACTTGGGAGGCTGAGGCAGGCAAATTACTTGAACCCAGGAGGCAGAGGTTGTAGTGAGCTGAGATTGTGCCACTGCACTCCAGCCTGGTGACAGAGTAAGACTCCATCTCAAAAAAAAAAAAATTAGCTGGGCATGGTGGCACACATCTGCAATCCCAGCTACTCAAGAGGCTGAGACAGGAGAATTGCTTGAACCCGGGAGGTGGAGGTTGCAGTGAGCCAAGATCTTACCACTGCACTCCAGCCTGGGCAGACCAGAGGGAGACCTTGTCTCAAAAATAAATAAATAAATAAATAGTCAGTGTAATGGTATTGCGAATTGGGAGGTGGAACCTCTAAGAAGCGTTTAGGTCATGAGGGCGCCAGTGCCTTCATGACTGGACTAATGCTGTTGTTGCAGGAGTGGGTTTGCTTGATCTTCCTCCCACTTTTCTCTGTGCCCTTCTGCCATGTGATTCCTTCCGTCATGTAATGATGCCAAAAGAAGACCCTCACCAGATGGTGACATCTTGGTATTGGACTTCCCAGCCTCCAGAACCACAAGCCAATGAATTTCTGTTCATTGTAAGTTACCCAGGCTATCATATTCTGTCATAGCAACACAAAACAGACTGAGACAAGGCAGTTCCAGCCCCAGGGCCTTTGCATCTGCTGTTCCGTCTCCCTTCACTGAGATCTTCCAATGCGTGTCTCCTTCTCTTTATCCATTTCTTTTTCTTTTATTTATTTAGTTTTTTGAGACAGAGTGTCGCTCTGTCACCAGGCTGGAGTGCAGTGGCATGATCACTGCTCACTGCAACCTCCATCTCCCGGGTTCAAGTGATTCTCCTGCTTCAGCCTCCTGAGTAGCTGGGATTACAGGTGCATGTCACCACACCTGGCTAATTTTTGTAGTACTTTTTAGCAGAGATGGGGTTTCGCTGTGTTGGCCGGGCTGGTCTTGAACTCTTGACCTCAGGTGATCCGCCACCTCAGCTCCCAAAGCACTGAGATTACAGGGGTGAGCCACTGCACCTGGCCTACTCATTTTTAAAAATTTAATTAAAAAAATTTTTAGGACAGCCTCACTTTGTTGCACATGCTGGACTGCAGTGAATAGATTACAGATCATTGCAGCCTCGATCTCCCAGGCTCAAGTGATCCTCCCACCTTAGCCTCCCAAATGGCACACACCACCATGCCCAACTACTTTTTAATTTTTTTTGTAGAGATGGAGTTCTCACTATGTTACCCAGGCTGGCCTGGAACTCCTGGCCTCAAGCAAACCTCCTGCCTCAGCCTCCCAAAGTGCTGAGATTACAGCCATGAGCCACAGCCTAGACTATCCATTTTTTTTTAACCTCCAAATTTCACCTATTCAGAAAGGCCTTTCCTGACCACCCCACTTAGCATAGCTCCCTACACATTTCTTATCACATTCCCCGTTTGATTTCCATAACAGAAGTTATTGCCTGCTTGATATTTTCTTTATGTATTTGCTCATTGCTTTTCTCCTTTATTAGATTGTAAGCTCTGTGAGAGCAGGGACCTTATTTAACACTATATATACTCTATGTCTAAAGCAATGCTTGGCACATAGTAGACTTTCTTTTCTTTTTTTCTTTTCGAGATGGAGTTTCGCCCTGTTGCCCAGGCTGGAGTGCAATGGCATGATCTTGGCTTACTGCAAGCTCGACCTGAGTAGCTGGGATTACAGGCATTCACCACCACGCCCAGTGAATTTCGGATTTTTAGTAGAGACGGGGTTTCTCCATGTTGGTTAGGTTGGTTTCGAATTCCCGACCTCAGGTGATCCACCCACCTCGGCCTCCCAAAGTGCTGGGATTACAGACCTTCAATAAAGGGCGTTTCAATCAATAAATGAATCAATGAGCAGTTCATCCCTCAGGTCACAGCTCAGATATCTCCTCCTAGAAACCTTCCTGACTCCCAGGAGTTCCAGACCATCCTGGGCAACATGGTGAAACCCCGTCTCTACTAAAAATACAAAAATTAGCTGGACGTGGTGGTGCGCGCCTGTAATCCCAGCTACTCAGGAGGCTGGGGCAGGAGAATCACCTGAACCCAGGAGGCGGAGGTTGCAGTGAGCCAAGATCGTACCACTGCACTCCAGCTTGGGCGACAGAGTGAGACTCCATCTCAAAAAAAAAAAAAAAAGAAAGAAAGAAAGCTTTCTGACTCCACACAGGCTGACCTGTGACTTGTGCACCTTGGTGTGGAAGGCTGATTGAGGCTAATACATTTCCTCTCTTGGGGTGACATTTTGGTATGAGATCTAGAGGGATGGGTTATGGCCAACACAAGCTGAAATTATGAGGGAGCAGAAGTTCTGGGTAAAGAATTGAACAGCTTCTGGGAAAGGCAAGCCTGAGAAACAAAGAGAAAGGGAGAGAGAGGAAGGAGACAAACAGAGGGAGGGAGGGAGAAGGCAGAGTAAGAAAGACAGAATCAGCTGGGTGCAGTCGCTCATGCCTGGAATCCCAGCACTTTGGGAGGCTGAGGTGGGCAGATCATTTGAGTTCAGGAGTTTGAGTCCAGCCTGACCAACATGGTGAAATCCTATCTCTTCTAAAGGTAAAAAAAAATTAGCCTTAGCCAGGAGTGGTGGCGCATGCCTATAATCCCCTCTGCTCAGGAGGCTGAGGCAGGAGAATTGCTTGAACCCAGGAGGCGGAGGTTGCAGTGAGCCAAGATCCCACCATTGCACCCCCGCCTGTGCGACAGAGTGAGACTCCGTCTCAAACGAAACAAAACAACAACAACAACAAAAAAACAGAAGGAGCTGAAAGAGTAGCTGGCCCCAGGCTTAGCCTCAATTTCGGACGTCTGTGTTCCTCTGTTTATTTTTCCAATAAACCTCCCTTTTCCTAAGGAAACTCGAATGAGACTCTGCTTCATGCAACCGAAGATGTCCTAGCTTAGCCAGTGCTCCTCCCCATGCCCCCGCCATACCCATGCAACCTCCATTACTGCAAGAATCACGCTGTGTTGCCATTATCCCTGTCCCCTGTCTGCCACCTTTACAAGACCCTGTGTTCTTTGAAGAATAAGTCCATGGTCTTATTCATCTGTGTTCCCAGCGCCCAGCATGAGCCCTAGTTCCTAGCGGGTGCTCAGTAAGTATTTATGAAGAAGAGATGCTTCTCTCACCCTCTTTGAGGGGATCCTGATTCCCAATCCACCAGTTCTCAATTCTCCTCTCTTAGGTCTTCTTCCCCACCCATCACCTCTTCCCAAATTCGCCTCCTTCTCATTCAGGATTAAAGGTCTCTCCTTTCACTGTTCTGTCACCAAACTCATCAATTTTTCCACTCCCAGAGCTTCCTATTGTTGAGATGCTGTTTTCCAACAAACTCTGTTCTCCTCTTCTAAAATAATAGTGCATAAGTTGGGCACACACCTGTCCAGCTAGGACTGACATTTCCCAGCCTTCCTTGCAGTTGGCCCAGGCCATATGCAAGAGTGATATTCAAACTATCTAGCAATTGGCAACGCGCAGGCACTAGCCAATCAGAATGGACGTCTAGCAAATCAGAATGGACGTCTAGTCAATCAGAAGAGACGTCTAGTTAATCAGAATAGACATTTAGCCGAGCCCAATAGACATCTAGCCAATCAGAATGGACACCACTGTCAACAACCAGTAACCCAGCCCTGACCACGTGACAACCTTCTCAACAATAAGATGTGAGGCACGTCCCTTCTGCCTCACTTACTCAAAAGGAAAGTGCTTGCTGTCCACTTCCTCTCTTCCCCTTCTCATGAGCTACAATTCAGACATGACCACAACCCCATTTCGACCATGCAGAGAAGACAGAGCAACAAGGTGGGAGGATCTTGGGTCCCTGAATGATCACATGGATCAGCAGTCTCCTGATAACCAGGAATGCTCATCTCTGGGTTGTTATGTGAGAGAGAAACAAACTTCAACCTTATTTGGGCCACTGGATTGTTGGGTCTCTTTTGCTACTGAAGCTCAGCTCATAGTCTAGGTATTTCGGTGAATCTAAAAGGCTATCAATTATAAGAGGTACCACAAAGAAAGACAAAAGTGCTGCCAATTAAGCCATGATAAGCCATCAATTATAAGACACATCTCGTTTTCAAAGACCTAAAAATGGGAAAATTATGCATCTTAGAGTCATGAAATACAGTAATACACTGACTTTATCTCAGATGCTTTTTCCAAATGACTTGATTTAGCCTCGGAAAAGAGATCCAATTACACCTACTTTACATAAAAGAAAACTGAGGCTCGAAGAGCAGATGTGACCCATTTGAGCCATTCATCCAGTGAGTACTCCCGGTTGCTAGGCTCTGGGAGGAGCCCACCCATGCCCCTCCCATTCCAGCCCCACTCACCTATGGAGACTCTCGCCGCGGTGGGTGCGGTTCTGGGCGCGACAGTCGTGGCCGAGCTCAGGAAGGAAACCATAGTCACGCAGCAGGGCCTGGGCGCCTCTGGCCACTACGGCCACGCCAGCTGCCACTCGCCGAGCCAGGTCATCCCGCCAGCCAGCCGAGCGCACTGCAAACAGTCCGGCAGGCAGCGGGGCGCCTCCTGGCAGAAGAGGGGGCTCGCCAGGGGCCCCAGAGCCCCCGCCTCCAGCCAGCTGGGGTCCCACCATGAACCAGACGTAGCCAGACCCAGTGAGACCAGCCTCCTCAGCTGCCCGGAACACGGGCTCGGCCTCCTCTCGGGCGCAGAAGAGCAGGCGGATCTGCGCGCTGACACTGCGGAGCTGGGCACTGAGCACCGCCTCGCCCGCCCCAGGGTCCAGCGTCAGCGCCCCGCGGTGCTCCCAGCCCACCAGGCTGCCGTCGGTCAGCACCTCGATGTAGGACAGGAAGGCCCGGTGGCCAGGGGCACGCGTGGTCACCGCTACAAAGGACGTCCAGTCGTACTCCTCCAGCACCTCGAAGATGACCTGAAGCTGTTGCTCGGTGGAGGAGCCCAGCTGCAGGAAGGTGGAGCCTTTCTCCTGCCGGCGAGGGAGGAGGATGTCAGGCCTTCCAATGTGGGGACCTCAACTCTCAGCAACAGATAAGGGGACCACAGCTCCCAATAAGGCAGGCTGACTAGATAGGTTCACTAAACCCATCTTCTTTTCCTGCCGGGGCACAGGGCTAGATCTGGATTAGCTTTAACTATGTGACTGAGTTTTTCTAGACTCATCCATAAAAGCTTACCTTTTTTTTTTTTTTTTTTTTGACAGAATCTTGCTCTGTCACCCAGACTGGAGTGCAGTGGCATGATTTCAGCTACTGCAACCTCCACCTCCTGGGTTCAAGTGATTTTCCTGCCTCAGCCTCCCGAGTAGCCACCACGCCTGGCTAATTTTTATATTTTTAGTAGAGACGGAGTTTCGCCCTGTTGGCCAGGCTGGTCTCGAACTCCTGACCTCAGATGATGCACCCACCTTGGCCTACCAAAGTGCTGGGATTATAGGCGTGAATGCCTGTAATCCGCACCCAGCCTGGATTTTATATGAATCAGAAACAACCTCCTGTTGGGTGATCTACTGACATTTGGGGGTTCATCTGTTCCAGCAGCTAACATCACTGTCATTAATACAACCAGCATCCAGTAAAGGAACTACAGCCCCCAGCAGCCACTGAGAGGGACCGGATCCCTGCAGGCAGTGAGGAGACTACATCTCCCAGCATGCAATATGAGTGCTGCCAGTATTTCCCAACTGGAAGAAGCTTTGGCGAGTGTACATTCCCTTCTTTGGTTTTTCTCCTACCTTCCTTCCTGTCACCTCTTCCTCTGCCTACTTTGCTGGCCCCTCTTCCTCAGCCAGAATTCTAAATGTGGGAGTACCTTACTGTTCTCTTTTCTTCTCTGTCCTCGCTCCCTGGTGATTTCAACCAGGCCCATGAGTTTTAATACTGTCTCCCATGTTATCCAATATGGTGACTGCTAGCCACTCATAGCTATTCAAGTTTAAAATAATTAAAATTAAATAAAATTGGCAGGGCGTGTGGGCACACGCCTGTAATCCCCGCACTTTGGGAGACCTTGGCGGGCAGATCACGAGGTCAAGAGATCACGACCATCCTGGCCAACGTGATAAAACCCCGTCTCTACTAAAATTACAAAAATTAGTTGGGCATTTGGCACGTGCCTGTAGTCCCAGCTACCTGGGAGGCTGAGGCAGGAGAATCGCTTGAACCTGGGAGGCAGAGGCCACAGTGAGCTGAGATTGCCCCACTGCACTCCAGCCTGGGCGACAGAGCAAGACTCTGTCTCAAAAATAAATACATAAATAAATAAATAAAATTTATCCTGAATCAAGGACCAGAGGAAAAAAATATTAAATAGAATTTTAAAGTTAGTTTTCTGGTTGTACTAACCCCATATCAAGTACTCATCAGCCACATGTGGCTTGTGGCTCTCATATTGGGCAGAGCAACTATAGACTACATTCATCCTTGCAGAAAGTTCTGTTGGACAGTGCTGATTATGCTAATGACTCCTGTCCTCAGTCACAACCTCTCGTGTGAGCTCCAGACAAACCTATCCCCCTGCTGTTTTTTGTTTTGTTTTTGTTTTTGTTTGAGACAGAGTCTTCTGTCACTCAGCGTGGAGTGCAATAGCGCAATCTCTGCTCACTGCAACCTCTGCCTCCCAGGTTCAAGCAATTCTCCTGCCTCAGCCTCTCTAGTAGCTGGGATTACAGGTGTGCACCACTACACTCAGCTAATTTTTGTATTTTTAATAGAGATGGGGTTTCATCATGTTGGCCAGGCTAGTCTGGAGCTCTTGACCTCAAGTGATCTGCCTGCCTCAGCCTTCCAAAATGCTGGGATTACAGGCATGAGCCCACACCTGGCCCCTATCCCCCTCTTTCTTTCTTTTTTTTTTTTTTTGAGACGGAGTTTCACTCTTGTAACCCAGGCTGGAGTGCAATGGCGCGATCTTGGCTCACCGCAACCTCCGCCTCCTGGGTTCAGGCAATTCTCCTGCCTCAGCCTCCTGAGTAGCTGGGATTACAGGCACGCACCACCATGCCCAGCTAATGTTTTGTATTTTTAGTAGAGACGGGGTTTCACCGTGTTGACCAGGATGGTCTTGATCTCGTGACCTCGTGATCCACCCGCCTCGGCCTCCCAAAGTGCTGGGATTACAGGCTTGAGCCACCGCGTCCGGTTCCCCCTCTTTCTTTATTCAATATCTCCTCTTGGATTTCCAAGAGGTGTCTCAAAATTAGCATGTCAAAAACAGAATGCTTGCTCTTTCCCCTGTCTCAAATTTGTTCTGTTTTTTTCTCTCTCTTTTTGTAAAGGAGTAAAGAATGTAAAGGAATAAAAAGCAGCTGTCTTGGTGGTGCATGCCCATAATCCCGGCTACTTGGGAGGCTGAGGCAGGAGAATTGCCTGAACCCAGGAGGTGGAGGTTGCAGTGAGCCAAAATCGCACCATTGCACTCCAGCCTGGGCAACAAGAGCGAAACACCATCTCAAAAAAAAAAAAAAAAAGGAAAGAAAAAGAGCAGTCGCCTTTTTTTCCCCTCCTCTCTCTCTTATTCACCCTGATGCTCAGGCCCCAAATCTAAATCACCGTTTCCCTGTCTTTCCCTGACACTCACATCCAGCCATCTCCAAGTCTTCTTAGCTCTACGTTCAAACATAGCTCCAGCTGTTTGAACTGCCATCACTGTCACACTGTCTCTCACTGCCATCACTGTCACAACTCTCATTGTTATCACTTTCTTGCCCAGCTATCTACAGCTTTCCCACCCCACCCATCTCTGTCTTCCTTTCTTTTCTTATCTTTTTTTTTTTTTTTTGAGATGGAGTCTCGCTCTGTCGCCCAAGCTGGAGTACAGTGGAGAGATCTTGGCTCACTGCAGCCTCCACCTCCCGGGTTCAAGTGAGTCTCCTGCCTCAGCCTCCTGAGTAGCTGGGATTACAGGTATGTGCCACCACGCCCAGCTAATTTTTGTATTTTTTATAGAGACTGGGTTTCGCCATGTTGGCCAGGCTGGTCTGGAACCCCTGACCTCAGGTGATCTGCCCACTTCGACCTCCCAAGGTGGTGGGATTACAGGCGTGAGCCACCGTGCCCAGCCCATCTCTGTTTTCAATCTTGCATTTTCCAGTCTCTTCTCCAAACGGCAGCCAGAGTGAGTGTTTCAATATACTAATTGGATCCCATCCCTTCTCAGTTGAAAACTTTCCAATGATTCTACCTCAGAATCAAAGCCAAAGTCCTTACCGGGGCCCCAAGGCCCTGCATGAACTGGCCCCTGTTGCTTCTCTGACCTCATCTCCTGCCACCCCAACCCCCAATGCGCTCCAGCCACACTCCCTTCTTTCTCTTCCTCAAATACATCAAGCTCCTTCCTGCTTCAAGGGCTTTGTCCGTAGTTGTTGCCTCTCCTGGGGACACTTTTCCCCAGCTCCTCCATGCCAGACCTCCACCTGACACCGCCAGCTCAGGTGTCCCTGCCTCAGGGTAACCTCCCCTGACTGCCACCGATTGAAACTCCATTCTCAATCATTACAACATCCTGAAGACTTCCTCTGGGAGGCCAGATTTTACTGTTACTGGTTTTGTCTGTCTCACCATTAAAATGCAAGCTCTATAAGGCAGGGACCTGGTTTCTCTCTCTCTTCCCCCCCCCCCCCCCAGAACTGTATTCACGAGGAATTAAAACAGCCTGGGCACAGAATCAGCTCTCAATAAATCTTCCTGTAATGCAATGAGAACAGCAAGTGGGCTTTCTCCCTAGCCACGTGCCTGTGAGAAAATCTGTAGGGGATATTGCAGTTGTCCTGAGGGAATGAGGTCTTTTTTATTTCTGTTTTTGTTTTGAGACTGAGTCTCACTCTGTCCCCCCTGGCTGGAGTGCAGTGTCATGATCTCAGCTCACTGCAACCTCCACCTCCTGGGTTCAAGCGATTCTCATACCTCAGCCCCCAGAGTAGCTGGGATTACAGGTGCCCGCCACCATACCTGGCTAATTTTTGTATTTTTAGTAGAGATGGGGTTTCACCATGTTGGCCAGGCTGGTCTCAAACTCCTGACTTCAGGTGATCCACTTGCTTCGGCCTCCCAAAGTGCTGGGATTACAGGCGTGAGCCACTGCACTTGGCCAGAAATGAGGTCTTATTGCAACGAACGAGAACCTCTTCCTTCAGCAGGTGGAGGTGTGCTGAGGGGACCACATTCCCAGTATTCAGTGAGGCACAGATGGACCTGTGAAGACCACTCTTTCTTCCATCCAGTGGCAGCGAGGGGACTACATTTCCCAGAATGCTATGGGCATACACCGAGCTGACCACAGTGCCCAGCGGACAATGAAACAGAGCGCAGAGCAGACCACACGTCTTAGCAGCAATGAAGGCAGGAGGGACCACGTCTTTGAGTATGCCTCGGAAGTGGCAGTTAAGAAATAAGTTCGCCTCCCAGGGCATCTGCCTACACATCACTTTAAAGTACCATGCCAAGGAGAACAAGAAAGTTGGACAGAGGTCCTTCCCAGGAAGCTCTGAACAGGAGAGGACTACGAATCTCTGCATACAATAGTGATGCAGTCACACAACCACCGGGTGCACAGCAGGGAATGGGCAGATTGAAGGAAGCTCCACCCACTCAGGTGGCTCCATCCTCTGGGTTGCACTGGCCTCACTTCTGGAGAGGCCCCGCCCCTTCTCAGGCCCCACCTCCTAGCTGACCCATTCTTCTCAATCCACAGAGCAGGCTTGGTCCAGCTCTCTCCTTCAGACCAGAGGTCCGCTACAACTGCCCTTTCTGTGCTCTTGGGAGTCAGGCCTTTCTCCAGGCTCCGGCCAGCTCCAGCCTCTACCATCCCTTCCCCAGCAGGCTCCTGGCTTTGACCTCTCATTGGCTGGGCCCGCCTCCACCGTAAGCCTTCATTCTCCTGCCCATCCTCTGGACTCTCGCTTTCCACACCTCACAGTGCGGTATGTCCCTTCTCAAACCCTACTCTCAGGACTGGCTTCCTCTCCAGACTCACCCCTTTATTAGAGTGCTTAGGCCCCGCCTCCTCCTTGGCCTCGCCCCCAACTGGCTAGCCCCTCCCCCTTTCCTGACTCACTCCTCTGACTGACCTCGCCCTAAACCTCGATTTTTACTTCTTGGTTTTTCCCCTTGCCCATCCTCCTCTCGTAATGACTCCTCCCCTTTTCCGACTCTTCCTCTTAGAAGATGGCTCCTGCATCCCTAGCCGACCTCTAGGCAGTGCTCAACCGGCCGACCCCTCCCCAAACTCTGTCCTCGGTATCTGACACCTCTGATACTGCCTGGCTCCCACGTCTCCACAAGACTCGCTCTTTTCTTTTTCTTCATTCATTTTCTTTCTTTCTTTTTTTTGATACTAAGTCTCACTGTGTCCCAGGCTGGAGTGCAATGGCAAGATCTCGGCTCCCTGCAGCCTCCGTGTCCCGGGTTCAAGCAATTCTCCTGCCTCAGCCTCCTGAGTAGCTTACAGGCGCCCGCCACCACGCCCAGCTAATTTTTGTCTTTTTAGTAGAGACGGGGTTTCACCATGTTGACCAGGCTGGTCTCAAACTCCTGTGACCTCAAGTGATCCGCCGGCCTCTGCTTTCCAAAGTGCTGGGATTACAGGCGTGAGCCACCGCTCCCGGGCCCATTCCTTTTCAACTGACTTCTTCCCGCGCTGATCCTAGATCCCACCTTTCCCTCAGATTTTGCCATCTGGGGTTGGTCCCTTTTCGTCCCCTGTCTCTAACCCTTCTCTTGACTCGTCTTTTCCACAGTCCCTTACCTGCAATGAATGGGCCCACGTCCTCCCTATACTATGATCATGGAGGACTGGCCTCTTTCTCACCCTGAAGGCCTGTCTTACCCTATAGACCAGCCCTCTCCAAGTCAGCCTGGCCTCTTACCTAGCCCGAAGCCCTGCCTGCCGTCTGGGCTCGCCTTGTCCCAGACGCGGACCCACAGAATTGGGGGGGGGTCCCCCGCCCCCTCCAGGCCCCGCCCCATGCTGGCCGTCCCAGACCCGGCCCCCCAAGGCTTGCCCCGCCTCTTCTATGGCCCCGCCCCCGCCCCGGTCGCGCGCACCTTGGGCGTGAGCACGAGCGCGGCGCCGCCGTGCACGGCCACGATGGGCAGCGAGGTCTGCGCCGACAGGAAGTCGAGGATGGGCGCGACGGCGGGCGCGCGCGAGTCGTCCTCGAAGACCACGCCGTGCACGCGCAGCCCCGACAGCAGGTCGCAGAGCTGCAGCACGAGGCTGCGCGGGTCCGAGCCGTTGAGCACCAGCGCCACGGGCCGCACGTCCAGGCCCGGGCTGCGCACGGCGGCCGCCACGGCGGGGCCCAGGCGCGCCGCCTCGGCCGCGTATGCGGGCCCCGAGAACACGAGCGCCACGTTGAGCGGCCGCGCCCCGCCGGGGACCCCGCCGGGCCCACCGGCCCCGCCCGGCCCCGGCGCCTCCTCCGGGAACGGGCTGGCGCAGGCCAGCGCCAGGAGCAGCAGCATCTTAGCGGGGCCCCGAGGGCCGCGGGGGCCACCGGCGCCGCGCATCGCCTGCGGGCCCCGCGGGGCGGCCTCTGAGCGCCCGGCAGGACGGGGAGGAGAGGGAGCACAGACGGGGAGGCGCAGAGACAGGGAGACGAGATAGAGAGACGCACAGAGGAGGAGAAGCAGCAAGGGACAGGCGCAGAGAAGGGGAGTTCAGGGGGCGGTCGGGGTGATGGAACAGAGGGAGAGACAACGCGGAGGACGAGAGAGATGGAGGGGAGAGAGACAGAGAGGGAGAGACGGAGGAGAGACAGGCAGAGACACGGGGAGAGACACACATAGCAGAGGAAGGTGGAGGGGCAAGGTGAGAACAAACGCCAGGCAGAGGAAGAGGTGAAACGGGGAGACGCAGAGATAGGGCGACACAGAGATAGGAAGAAGTGTAGTAAGGGATTGGGGGAGACGTAAAAAAGAGAGTGGATGATGGGGTCAGGGGAAGATACAGAGGTAAGGGGAGAGAGAAAGGGCAAGAGACAAGATGGGGATGGGGAGACCCACAGAGGTGGGATCAAGATAGGAGCAGAGAGACCCAGGGAGACGGGGAGGGAAAGAGCGCCAGGAAGAAGGAAAGAGACAGAAGAAGCAACAGAGACAGGGAGAAGACAGAGAGGATGGAGTGGCAGAATCGGGAGTGAGGGAGGCCCAGGGAGAGGATGATAGAGGCGGGGAGAGATGCAGGAAGGCGGGAGAGATAAGCGAGACAAGAAAGTTGGACAGAGAAGAAGACAGCAACCAAGCCAGGAAGAGGGAGACAGAGACTCCAAGTCCACCAAGAGACACGCACACATAAGGGATGGGGACACGGAATTGAGATTGAGGGAGGCAGGCAGAGCGGAGTGCAAACAGGAGGACAGAAATAGCGAGGCAAGGCCAAGATCGGGACCCCCGCCAGGGAGGTGCCCAGCACAGACATGAAAGCAAGGCGGGGAAGGCGATTGGCAGGAGGGAGCAGAAATAAAAGCGAGGAAAAGGGAGAGGAAAAACGAGAGAAGGAAAAGGGGTCAGGTGTGCGGGGAGAAAGAGAGAAAGAGAAAGAAAAATTAGTGGGGCACCCCGAGGAGAGAAAATGCCCACATGACCTTACCCTTCACCCTGACCACAACCCTAACACATTTTGTCCTCTTACTCCTGTCCCTGTCCCCTCATTCTCAAAGCAAGTGAGTCATGGCCCCTGCTGGGATGTGGAGTTGGGGGACACAGCTGTGGAGAGCTGGGAATGGGGGTCCCTGGCACTCGGCCCGGATCAATTTGGTAAATTAAAGAAAATACAGTCTCTCTTCCTGGGCCCCCTGTTGAATACTAGCCGCCTGGGGTGGTTGGGCTGGGAGCCCATCTCCTGGGTCCTGCCTGGGACTGAGGGAGGAGGGCACTGGGGGTCTGGACTCCTGGTTCCCAGAGAAGGACTGGCGTCTGCACTAGGGCCTTCCTGAAGGGGTGAGGGTCCAGACAGGGGAGGGCTCTCTCCTGGTTGTCAGTCAGGCTCCTGTCCGGTTGCCATGGCAGCGAAGGCCTCGTCCACCCCACAGACTGCCAGGGTAGGGGAAAGGCCCACAACCCCTCCCATGCCTTGAGGCCACAGCCCCTCCCCTCTGCCCATCACCTCACCTTCCCAGAGATCCCAGGCCCCTGTCTCCCCAGGGAAGGGGATGGGGGCTCCTAGTATGCCCATCCCTCCCCAATCCTGGCTCCTCTTCGCCCCTCCTCTCCCTTGCCCTTCCCCAAGCAGCTGGCTCAATCAGTGCTCAGAATAACCCCCCCACTCCGCCCCAAAATAACCCACAGCTGTGGCCTGGCCCCCGCGGGGTTAACACTCTCGCTCCCCTCCCTTCCCAGTGGCTGCTCACCCTCCAGCCCCTCCTCTGCCTCTCCTAGACCCACCCCTACCTGGCTTCTGCTCTTAGGGACCTTGGGTCCTGCTCCCTGCTGAGGTCCAGGAGGGCAGCCCAGGCCCCACCCTTCTCAGGGGGGCTGCATGCTCAGTTCCTTCCCATAGTGATTAGGGAGAACAGCCTCCCTGCTTCACGGACTGAGGAGGGGCATCCCCAGTCCTCCAGGACTCCAAAGGCCCAGCCGCCAGAACCTACACCCGCAGGGATCACAGAGTCCAGCCCCTCAACACCCCCCCGCGTCTGTCTCCACCTCCTCTTGAACCTCCGTTTCCATTTCCATCTGCACCGGGCTAAAGTCCTCGACTCCTGTCCCCTGCCCTGTCAGGGACTCAGGAGACTGAGCTCCCAGCCTGTCCTTCCTCAGAAGCCCTGTCCCCTACCTCCTTCTGTAAAGACCCAGGAGTCCTGCCGGCAGCCCCTTCCTCCCGCAGCCCTTGGAAGTCTGGGCATTCAGTCCTGTTCTTTCCCAGGACCCAGGAGGCCGGACCCCTCCTGCCCCAAGACTCTGGAACTCCAGTGCCCAGCCTCCTCTCCCCACAGGAACTGGGAGTCCAGGTCCCCAGCTCCTCTCTTTCCCCAAAACCCAGGGGTCAGTGTTCCTGCCCCTCTCCTCCCTTAAGGATCCCCTTTTGGTTTCAAACCCCATCTTTCCCAACCTCCTGGGTGCCCCCCCAGCTCCAGCCTCCCTGGTCACCCCACTTAGATCCTGTACATAGCACAGCCTGTCCCCAAGTGGGGAGGAGGAGGAGGGTGCCAGAAATTCCTAGGGTGTCCCTGTCTTCATTGCCCCCCAATACAGCACCCAACACAGAAGGGAGGAGAAACCACTTTGATCAACAGCTCCCCCCGCAACCTCGAGTTGTGCTGCAGACGGCGTCCTGATTCCTCCCCCCGCACCCCCCCTCCAGCACACACACACAACACCCATCTCTCCCCACCCGAATCCTGATGCTTGGAAGAGGCTGGAAGGGTGTTCCAGAACCTTGAGGAAGGGGTGGGAGCTTGGGGCGAGGGGTGCTGGGGGCCTGGATGCCCTCAAGGTCCTTGGCAGGGGTATTAATAGCAGACTCATAGCTCTGACATGGGAGGCGAGATCGAGAGGAGAGAGGGAGAGGGCCGGCCGGCGATGGGGGACACTGATGCAGGGAGGGGTGCAGAGAGAGTGTGAGATGAGAGATGGAGGGACAGGGATATGGGGCATCAGGTATGTGGGGCTGGGGAGAGGGAGCCAAGTGTCAGAGAAATGGGGGGTGGGAAAGGTCTGAGGTATGGGGACCCAGGAAAAAGGGGCTCAGAGAGAGAGAGAGAGGGTGGAGAGATTCCCTGAGGGACAGGATAGCTAGGTGGGGGCCAAGACCCCTGCCCACCATTCCACCCCCCTCCTTCCATGAGGCTCCTGGCCAACTTCCCCTGTCCTAGATTTGGGGGTCCACATTCCCACCACCACCCCTGCATCCCCTGTCCCCGCCTTACCTTTTCATGACCCTGTTCTGTGGGGGGGATTGTGGGGGGGCCAGGACCGGAACCCGGCGTCCAGCGACCCCAAGATTCCGAGTAGGGCTCAGAGAGCCGATGTGGGGGGGCAGGCCCCGGGGCGGCAGCAGTGGTGGTGGCGGCAGCAGCGGCGGCCGGGACCTCCTGTCTGTCCCTGGCTCTGTCTCTCCTTCCTCTTCCTTGGTCTTGTCCTGCCCTGTCTGTCTCCCAAGGTTGCGGCCACCTGGACTAGGCGAGGACGTGGCTACACATGTTGCTTTGGAAGTTGGGCCCCGGACATTGCGGAGGCTGTCGGGGTGTCCTCTTGCTGCCCCGACCCCATGGGGATCCCCCCTCCGCCCACCTGGGGTGCCCCCCCTCTGCTGCTTCAGCCCGGGCTCCTCCCCACTTTCCATGTGTCCAGTCCCGCCTCTCTCTGGCTCATTCGCACCCCCGCTTTGTGCCCTCACCACCCCGCACCCCCCCACCCTCACCTCCAGCGTCTGTGTCTGTCTGTCTGTCTGTCTGTCTGGGTCACCTCTGAAGCTGGTGGCTGGTGTGTGTGTGTGTGAGGAGCGGGAGATTGCCTGCCTGGGGAACTGCTTGCTCCTTCCTCGCTTGGCCACCTCCAGACCCCCCCCCTCGACGCCCCCACTCTCAAACACAGGCAGAAACACACACATACACTCACGCACACACGCACGACCTCACTTCCCTGGGATTCCCCCCTCAACACCCCCAGAGCTTGAGGAGGGACACACACACACAGAGGGGGGGTCTAATGGGGGCCAGGCTGCCACTGCCGTTAGGGGCTGTTTGGACAGACAGGAGGACACAGGCAGCCGGGGACGCCCAGATGCCTGGCCGGACGCGGGCAGGAGACACAGAACCCAGGTACACACCACCCATCTGGGTTTGGGGGCTGGTGTGGGAGGAGTAGGGGGGCCCACGACACCCAGGCAGGCGGCTCAGGGTCGGTACAGACAGACAGACCCCTCCCTCCCTCGGCCGCCGCAGCCCTTACAGACACACCCCCCCCTCCACCAGCCAGCCTGACACCCGGACACACAGATCCTCACCGGGCAGATGGCAGACGCTCGAGAGACCCCTGGGGGCCGGGCGGACCCACCCAGGCGACACCCTCCAGCCGGGCACCGGTGGCCGAGGGAGGCTGCGGGAGGCTGCGGGCGAGGGTGGCGGCGGCGGCCGAGGCTTGGAGGAGCCGGAGCGGGAGGGACTCGCACACTCGCTGTATTCTCGCACACACACACTCACTCGGGATGCGATTAACATTCAGTCCCCGTCCGCCACTGCTGGGAGACCCATAGCCCCCCCCTCCTGGCCTCTCTGGGGACCCCTCCTCCTGCCAGGGCGTGGGGAAGGGGCCGCCCGCCGCCCCAGCTACCAGCCTCTGCCTTCCTCCTGGGACAAGGGAGTGAGGGGCTGAAAATAAAAAGGGAGGAAGAAGTCAGGCTTGGTGGGGGGCAGGCAGAGGTGTGGAACCCAGTGTGGAGACATCAGCTTCAGAGCTAGACTCCAGGGCTGGGGTGGCTGCCCTCTGCTCCCTCCCTGCCTTGAGGCTCTGGAAACAGAAGACCTTTCCCTGACTTCAGGGTTCGCCACACTAAGACCCAGTCTGTCGCTTTTATTGCCCCAGAAGGCCAGGCCTGAAAAACAAGGTCTCCACCCTGAAGCCAGGAGTCCCGCCCCCCAGCCCCTCCTCCCTCAGACCCGGCAGTCCCTTCTCTACGGGGACCCGGGAATTTGGGGCCCCTCCTCCAGGTCTGCCTCTCCCCCAGTACAAGCCATCCTCAGGGACCCAAGACTCGTGGATGTCACCCTTGGGCACCCAGTCCTTCCAACCCTCTGAAGAAACCAACTTGCCT